GTTCCAGTATCATGATTATTTCCAAGAATGCCGTTGGTGACATTTCAGTCAAATATTTCTGAAAAAATCAGTAAAAATACTCAACAATCTCTGACAATGAATCTTACTGTTGATTTACTGTCCATTTTTTTGCTAAGGTTTTTAAGTCAGTGCAGCATGATAAATTAATTCAGAGGCTAGATTTGTTACCACCAGGGACTGGTAAACTAAAGCACATCTTTCTTTGGACCAGAGGTATTTAAAAGTGTGGGAAATTCCTTTGACTGAAAAACATAAGCTAACAGTGAAGAGCTTTGAAAAACACCACAATTAAGAGAAGTTGTATTTAAATCTAGTAAAAATTTGTAGCTGTATTAAAATTATTTTCCCAATATGCTATCTTCATCTGTACAAATGTTACTCTATATATAAATAGTGAAACTGTATCCTGAAAATGTGTGTATTTCTTTTTAAGATCATTTGAAATCATATACACGTATATAAATATGTGCATATAGAGTATGCGTGAAAGTATGTATTCATGTTTGTATCCATATAAGCACACACACGGGTTATTTGCTTTGCTTTTGTTTTTCCTTTATCCATTTTCTTTTTTGAACTGCAAATTTAGTTTTGCCTTAATGTTATGTTTATTTCAATAAAGAGGCAATTAAAAACAGAATTCCTACTTTCCACCCACAGGGATTCTTAGAAAATATAAATTATGGGAGACTTTACACTATTACTTTGTTTGAAAGTTACCTGTCCACCCAGAAAATAAAAGGTAAACATATCTCAGAAGGCAGAGAACATCCTTTCATATACATTTATGTTTTTAATGAATCAATTAGGACCACCCTGGATAGCAAGTGCTATGGAGCACCAAAATGCTCTCACAAATCCAGATAGCTAGACATACAATTTAATTACAATTAAATACTGGATCCAGTTAAAGTGATGTATTTGGTGAAAGTGGCAAGCTATTCTGTACCAGATCAAATTTAGTGATATGAAAAGTATTTATAGAACAGTAGCGGTATCATAATTCATCCTCTGGAAACAAATACAACAAAATAGATGTGCTCAGTAGTGTTTTCTAAACTGCTCTTCCTAAATGTCGGTTTGCTAAAGCAATACCGTATTTCTGCAGTCAAGTTTGCATCTTATTAATTTAATCAGAAACTAGGTTGCATTACTCAGATTCAGATTCAGATTTTATTCAGGCCATAGATTAGATAAATCACATAAAACAAAACTGCCTGGGATTTCTTCCAGACATCAAGAATTGCTTATATTTTCTCCATGTGCTCCAGAATGCAAATTTGGACACAATAGGACACAGATTCAAACCCAATGGCGAAGTCCTGTAACTCTTCTATGTAGATCAGACACACTTGGATTAGCCTCATAGACTACACAATTCCTTCTTTCAAGACTTCAGAAAGCTCTCCTTTACCCCAAACCCTATAGTTTTTTCCAAGGTTCAAGATTTTATCACTTCCTTAAATTCAATGTGTAAAACAGCTTTCTATTAGAGTAGCCATAAGTTGTATTTTATAGCAGGACATCCTGAATCTGAAGTCTTGATTCCACTTAGGTCTAATATGAAGAAAGATAGAGAGATGGATCCTAATTTCCCATTTAGATTCAGCACCTGGACACAGACTTAATAAATACATAGCTCATCTGGTCCCAATATTGCATTTTATGGTGAGATACATTATATTTTATCTAGATTATAATTATTTCCATCTATAAATGTGTATTTATGTATATATGTATACCCACACACACACACATTCACATAGAGAAAAAAAAGCCCTTCTCTTTTTCTGATTCAAACATTTCCCATTCCTGTTTCTTGGTAATACGCAAGTGCCTATATTACTTTCCATATTCCCCTTTCTTCAAAACTGTAATGGATCTGGTTGACTGCCCATCAAAGTTTTGCAGATTTTAACTGCACTTCAGAAGCTGCTTCAGAGCAATCCTACACAAGGCTCTACAAGGGGGCTAGGTTTTATCAAGACTGTTTAAATAGCTTGATGAGGAGCTTCCAACCTTAATTCTTGGAACAGTTTATTTTCATGGCCAATAGCGTTACCTCTCTCCATTAATTTTCTGTGTTGAAAAGGAGAGTCATATTTTTTAGCTCTATCCAATTTGTATGCCCCTCATCCCAGCTGTAGAGCCAACATATCTGGCGAGAAGCAAGGTGGGAAAAACTACTGGAAATATTCACCAGAAAACATGGTTGCACATAGGTTCACAGGTTCCATTTAGAGGTTTTGCCTGACAGGTATGTAGGAAAATTCAAAGAAAGGGATATTAACCAGAAGAAAGAGAAGATACTAGAATTCAAAATGGGAGGGAAGGAGATCACATTCTGCCAGCTATAGCTGAAATTACTTTTAGATTTGCAGATACTTTGATCAACAGACATCAAATAAAAAGATTCCTTGATGTAGCCCACTTTCTGTTTCATCAACAATAATGTCCCTTTCAAAATTTTGCATAGCAGAGCATTAGAGCTCACAGGGTTTCATACATTCTAAAAGTGATTTGCCATGCAAAAGCCCTTGTTAAATTATGATGAACATCTGAAAAATGAGGCTTCCTGATTGTGACAAACAAAGTTCAAATGTGCTTAAATTGCCTTATGTCAACACAGAAGCTCATCGTCAAAATCTAAAAATTCAACTTCTGTTTACCTTAACTGATTAATTTGCATAAACCATATTCAAGTTTGAAAACTGGGGCAAAAGTGTATGAAACACCTGACCGCTGATAAGAGGACATCTTTCTAACAAGCCCTTTCTATTTTAGCCTGCAACATCAGGCAGTACAACCTTATTATCAGAACTTAGTATTTGCTCAAGCCAAGTCTTGCAGACAGGTTTTTGTCATTTTTCAACCCCTTTTAACTCCACCTACTGCTGCTAAGGAATGTTTTTCCTGGCTTACACCTAATAAATTTGGTAATTATTTTGGATCCAAAATGGAAAAGGTCCAAGCTACTACTTTAGTATTGAGTCCTACCACCCTATATCTAACTTTTCTTTTTCCTTTATAACAGAAAATGTGGTAGCTAAATAATTTAATCTGCTCCCTATACTACCAGTCCTTCTGATCCCTTTCCCTCTTTCCTTTATTCATCTCTACTGCCCTCCTCCCCACTTTTTTCTCACTAGGCTGGCAAAGTGCTCCTTTTCTACTGGCAATTATTCACATTCCCTGATACTTGCCTACCTTTGTTCCATGTTGAAAGATAGCTTTCTATCCTTCTGTGTTTTCTGATTATCATCCACACCTTCCATTCTTATCCAACGTACTTGAGAAAATAGAAGCCTCTCTGTTCTCTCTCCATCTCCCTCCCCAACAACCTCCTAGACCATTTCAGTTGAGTTTCTGTGCAGGACAGTCTACCAAGTCAACATTGGCTCATGACATAAATAATCTGCTGGTGGCCCAAAGCAAGCCATCCCTCTTCAGTGCTGCTGCATTTCATACCCTGGACCATCTAATACTATTTTCCTGCCTAATAGCTTCAGTCCTCTGTATTCCACAGCACTTTTTCCTCTTATGTGGAATAGTACTATTTCCTACCCTTTCTCTTCATCAGTAGGTGTCCTCCATAGTTTAAGCATTGACTCCTTTCTTATTTTCTTTGTACATTTTTCTTTCTAGTCCTTTGATTTTTTCCCCCCATCAGTTTAATTGTTACGTATAGGCTTATGACACTCATGTATACCCTTCGGACACTGTTCTGGATGACATGGTCTGGGGTTTCCTTTCTTAAGTGCATCGGTGAGATCTCAGACTGGATGGCTTCCCACCATTGCAAACTGAACATGGAAAAGACAGAAATTGTTTTGTTCCAACCTGATCATCTCACCTTTTCTCTTTTTGTTCCTTCTTTTTAAGGCTGCAGATTCAGGTATCCTTTTGGGTGAGGAATCTCAGAATCCAAATGAATGAGGGTTTCCATTGACAAAAGCATCAAAGCTTGTAACTGTTATTTAATTAATGTTCACAGAATCCATTGGTTCCTCATCACAGAGATGGTAAAGCAAGTGTTCATACATTGATTCTCTCACAACTGGATTATTGCAGCAGTCTTCTGGATACTTCTCTCTGTCCCTGATCAGGATCCAGAACAGCATAATCTGTACCATTCTCCCCAAACTACCCTACTTCCTGTATTGCCAGTCCTTACATTGGCTGGATATTACTGGCTAAATTGCTAATGTTAATTCTTTAAGACTTGTGCTTATAGCTGCTTCTAACTCATCTCTCTTTGTGCTCAACTGGATCATCCACCCAAAGGCAACTGGTACATTCTCATGCTAAAATACATATATCACAGCAAAGAGCTCTTTCTGGTCTAGCACTTATCCTCTAGAATCAACTGCCTCCAGAATTACATCTATCAACATTTCAAAAGGCATTAAAAACATCTCTCTTTTTTTATAAACCTTTGTGAAATTGATTTAAGCATTATTTTATGTAAAAATATATTATTATTTAGATGTGTTAATTAAAATTTTAAATGTTATGGACCATTCAGGCAACTGAGGCTCTATATTTCAGTTGTGATCTTCAACTGGATTGTAGTGAATTACTATATTAAGTTGTGATATTGTATTTGTATTGAGCCTAGTTATAAGTGCATGAAAAAGCAAGCTATTTCATTGCATAAAAATGTGTAGTATATTTTGAAATACACAATAGAGCTAGACTTGTGGACTATCAAAAATGGCATAGATTTTTAAGATCAGAAAAATCAGCTAAACCTTATCTATTAAGTTATTGTGATGTGAACTAAGCTTATAAACTAAGTGGAGGGGGGCATACTGGCATACAGATGTAGTACATTGAATTGAAATCCTACTTCTGCAGATTAACATTTTTCTTCAAGCCACAAAAATACATACTTTAAAAAAATCAAATGCAGGCATGTTTAACTGTCAAATTTATAAAATAAAACTACAAAGTAAGTTATTAGAAATTACCAACGCATAAACTTAATCAAAATAGAAGTTCTAAGTCTGGTCAAATTCTGTAGTATTTAAATTTTCATGTAGACACATTCATATAACTGATAATTATAACTAAGGGCCATTTCATATATGCTATACTAGCAAAGGTAGTTTTGCAACCAAGTTTAGTTTTGCAACAAGGACTCAAAACTACAGATTTTGACAAGGCTTACACATTATAATTAGCAACTGGACTTTGATTCTTATACCTGCTTATAAGCTTGCGAATGTGAGTTTGACTCATTTACACTGTTTGTAAATATACATTCACCTACAACATGTAACAAGGTTTAGTATGGTTACTGATAATCTTCAAGGATGGGTATGGCAAACCAAGCCTTTATGATTGCAAAACAATTCTAATATAATGTAAATACTCATCATTGGAAATTGTACACTATTACAAATAGAACTACTCTATAAATAACTGTTCAAGATCAAGAAGGTAGCTGGGACTATCATGATTTTGAAAAGACACTGCAGTAGGTGTTGCTGAACTCCTCTTCCTGTTATTTCCAGGAATGACACAGCTTTAAGAAGGCTGATGACCCTCCTCCTGTCATTAAGTCCATCCTTTTTTGAGGAGCTGCCTGAACCCTTAAACAGCCATTGCCCTAAATAGCTCCTGGCACCTGTTGATTGAGAGTAAACCCGCACTGAGAGGAAATATTGTGTAACTGAACAGTCTGGCAGATGGCTGTCCTTGGATCAGGGAGAACTCAGAGGAGGGATGATGAATTTTGGAATGTTCTCCATCACAGTCTTCCTAAACCTTAAGAAGAGTTGAATCTAGGCAACATGGCTTCGTTTCACTGACTTGTTTACAAATCTGAGGCTCTGCAACTGTTGAAGGTTTTAATCCCTCCCATATTTCAAGGCTTGGCACTGGTTCTTCCACTTATTTCTTCCTCTGTTCATACAGATGCAAATGGATGGTAAGTGAAAAATGTAAAGATGTATCAGCTCTGCCATCCTAGGATCTGAATAAAAATTAAGTAATTTGTTTAACAAAAATTAAAGATGACTGAAAGCTTTGATCTCTGAGCTAATTGCCTGAATATGCATAAATTCCATTAAGTTAAGATTTGACATGATTTAATCAGCCTAGAGTGACCCCTTATGGTAGAAGAATCAAGTGAGACTTGCTGTAAGAAAGTTTGCAGGTATCAGAGAGGCCAAAGGGTGTCTTGCTGGCCTCAAAACTATTAATTAGTAACTAGGAAAGCAGCACCACACAAAAATCGCTGCTCCGGTATTTATCTCTAGAGGTTGCTGCTAGACTGCCTCATTATCATCTGGATGGAAAACAGCTCTCTTTCCTGGGAGCTCTCTACAACAGCCTTATTGATTAGGTTCCCACAGTGCTAAATCATCCTGCAGCTTTCATTGCATTCTGTCTGCTTCCCCACCCCTGCATAATAAAACCATCAAAGGCTTACAGAAATGTGAGGCAAGGCAGATTTTGGTAAGCACCATAACATAATGCAGATTCTATTTATATAATGCCCCGAGAGCCACAACACTTCACATGCCAAAACTGCAGTTTTGAAAAAGCCAAGTCCTAGCTTTCATTTGGTCTTTCCTCTTGTTGTACTCCCTTTTGAATTCTCTGCCAAAATGTCAGAAAGTGTCAGATGTAAGAAGGAAGGGGAAGGAAGGAAGGAAGGAAGGAAGGAAGGAAGGAAGGAAGGAAAACACTAATCTGAGATGATCTCATAGGAAATCTTTCTCCAATTTAAAATTTACCAAAAAAAGAAAGAACTTTCTGTCTGATGAAAAATACATTGTGGGGAAAGAACGAAGTACATCGTTAATTTTGTAAGGCAGTTAAAACCATTCTGTTTTGACAAACCTTTGATGCAGTTGGTGGACCTTGACCACCATGCTTTCTGATACTGATCTTTTATAATTCACTGTTATTGTATTGTAAACTGCTGTGGAGGTAGTGATGGAAGAGATTGTGGGGTGACTGGGAAAGAAACAGAAGGGAGAATAGACATAAACAATCAAGAAATGGAGGGCAAATCAGTTGACAGTTTATCTCATAAGCAGCTACTTCAAGGAAACTTTGCTGTATGAAATCTGGGTAGTTCTTGCTTCTTAGATCTTACCCAGATGCATGGAGCTTGACATTTGGTGGAGAGAGAAACAGACAGATAGACAGCAAGCATTTCAGGAATTTGAGTAGGACAATGCAAACGTATAATCCATACATACATGCAGATATACAGTTGAAACTACTCTAAGCATTTCCAGTGGAGAATTATGAAAACATCTCAACTTTTTAGAACAATTTGAAGTAAAACTCTCCCAGACTTTAAGATAAAGCTAAATAAATTTATGAGTACTATTTTATGAAGAATCTTTTACCAACATAATTATTTATTATCATATAGTATTGGATGAATACTAACCAGGGAAGGGATGGTACAATGGCTCTAAGGTTGTTGAATCTAAATAAAAACTATCTTCTTACAACTCGCTGTATAGATATTACATATTTGAAGCCTAACAATGCTAAGGTTATGGTGAATAATTGACATCCCTTAGTTCTTTGATGGCATACTATATAGGAACAAAGATTTATAGTTGGTATTCAGTTGCCACCTAAGGATTCTTTTCCTTGCAATTTCCAGGGGAGGCATGGCAAACTAGCACATCTCCAAGTGAGTGGAGATGATGACTGCAACAAAGACCAAAGAACCAGTCAGCAGACCAGTTCCATGGAACCTCTCCAGATAAGGAGAGGACAGGAAATTATCCACATGTGCTCCAGATGGTTGCTCCTTACAAGGAGACAGTAGGATAGTGGTCTCCTGTGGGTTTGAATGCCAGGAGATGAAGGGAACAGCCATCAAGCTCACACCCACAGCGGAGCCTTTTAAAGGATGCTGGGTTCACTAACCTCACTTTCTAATCACTTTCAGAAATTGCCTATTTAAATATCTTAAGCTATTAGAGTTCTTCAGAACAAGAAGTTTGAAAAGCCACTTGTGAGTTTACCTTCATTCTTGAACAAAAGAAAAATCAACTATAAGTTTAAGAATTTAAAGAATTAGAAATAAATGGCAAAAAGCTAAATAAGACTTTGATCCAAGAAAGTTGTAAATGATTTAAGGGTCCAGATAAATTTGGAATATTAAGACTTTTACTATAAGTTTTGGAAATAATTATATAGTCTTTCATGGGAACTAAACTATTTTGTCTATCCTAAGATATAACAGAGATTTGAGACTTTATGATTTCAGAAATTGGACACTAGAGGGGATTAAAGATTCCAGGCAGAAAAGGAAAAGGAAAAAAAAAAGTGAATCCTTGCATTTTGTTTTTGGTTAGCGCTGGGATTTACAAAATGCACAAAACATTATGACATTTGAAATACTCCATGAGATTTTTGTTGAAGAATAGGGTCAGAAATTAACAGCTACAGTGTCAGCTATGGATAGACTGTGTCCAAAAGATGTTAACAAAGGAATGACAGATGTAAAACAAATTTTGCCTGATGCAGAAATATCAAAACCAGAAATACTGTATAATAAAAAAAGTGTGGATTATAAGACAGAGAAGACAGCTAAAGTGGAAACACAAATGATAAGCCAAGAGAGTGATCTGGATAATGACTTTTTATTGGATTTACAAAATAAGTTTGCTAAAGCCTCAAAGAAGCCTTTGGAATGGAAAAAAAAAGAAGAGAAATCAAATCCTATGACAACATCTGAATGAATTAAAGATCAAGATTGTTAGAAGTAAAAGGAA